ATAGTTGGCTGCTCCCACGTTAGGGGCATAGATATTTAAAATTGTTAGATCTTCTTGTTGGACAGATCCTTTGAGTATGATATAGTGTCCTTCCTCATCTCTTATTATAGTCTTTGGTTTAAAATCTAATTGATCTGATATAAGGATTGCCACTCCTGCTTTCTTCTGATGTCTATTAGCATGGTAAATTCTTTTCCACCCCCTCACTTTAAATCTGGAGGTGTCTTCAGGTTTAAAATGAGTTTCTTGTAGTCAACATATAGATGGGTTTTGTTTTTTTATCCATTCTGATACCCTGTGTCTTTTGATTGGGGCATTTAGCCCATTAACATTCAGGGTAAGTATTGAGAGATATGAATTTAGTGCCATTGTATTGCCTGTAAGGTGACTGTTATTGTATATTGTTTCTGTTCCTTTCTGATCTACTAGTTTTAGGGTCTCTCTGCTTAGAGGACCCCTTTCAATATTTCCTGTAGAGCTGGTTTGGTGTTTGCAAATTCTTTCAGTTTTTGTTTGTCCTGGAAGCTTTTAATCTCTCCTTCTATTTTCAATGATAGCCTAGCTGGATATAGTATTCTTGGCTGCATGTTTTTCTCGTTTAGTACTCTGAATATATCATGCCAGCTCTTTCTGGCCTGCCAGGTCTCTGTGGATAAGTCTGCTGCCAATCTAATATTTTTACCATTGTATGTTACAGACTTCTTTTCCCGGGCTGCTTTCAGGATTTTCTCTTTGTCACTAAGACTTGTAAATTTTACTATTAGGTGACGGGGTGTGGACCTATTCTTATTGATCTTGAGGGGGGTTCTCTGAACCTCCTGGATTTTGATGCTTGTTCCCTTTGCCATATTGGGGAAATTCTCTCCAATAATTCTCTCCAATATACCTTCTGCTCCCCTCTCTCTTTCCTCTTCTTCTGGAATCCCAGTTATTCTAATGTTGTTTCGTCTTATGGTGTCACTTATCTCTCGAATTCTCCCCTCGTGGTCCAGTAGCTGTTTGTTCCTCTTTTGCTCAGCTTCTTTATTCTCTGTCATTTGGTCTTCTATATCGCTAATTCTTTCTTCTGCCTTATTTATCCTAGCAGTGAGAGCCTCCATTTTTGATTGCACCTCATTAATAGCTTTTTTGATTTCAACTTGGTTAGATTTTAGTTCTTTTATTTCTCCAGAAAGGGCTTTTATATCTCCTGAGAGGGTTTCTCTAATATCTTCCATGCCTTTTTCGAGCCTGGCTAGAACCTTGAGAATCGTCATTCTGAACTCTAGATCTGACATATTACCAATGTCTGTATTGATTAGGTCCCTAGCCTTTGGTACTGCCTCTTGTTCTTTTTTTTGTGGTGAATTTTTCCGCCTTGTCATTTTTGTCCAGATAAGAGTATATGAAGGAGCAAGTAAAATACTAAAAGGGTGGCAACAACCCCAGGAAAATATGCTTTAGCCAAATCAGAAGAGATCCCAAATTGTGAGGGGGGAGAACGGGGATAAAAAGGTTCAGAAAGGAAAAAAAAAAAAAAGAAACAATTAGAAAAAGAAAACCAATAAAGAAAAAATATAAAAAGGAAAAAAATATATATATATTAGATAAACTAGTTAAAAAACGTTAAAAAAGAAAAGGGTAAAAGTTAAAAAAATTTAGCAGAAGAAGAGAAAAAAAAATTGAAAAAGAAAAAAAAAATTAAATTAACTGCACGGCTAAGGAATCATGGGGAGAAAGCCATGAGTTCCGTGCTTTGCTTTCTCCTCCTCTGGAATTCCGCTGCTCTCCTTGGTATTGAAACTGCACTCCTTGGTAGGTGAACTTGGTCCTGGCTGGGTTTCTTGTTGCTCTTCTGGGGGAAGGGCCTGTTGTAGTGATTCTCAAGTGTCTTTGCCCCAGGCGGAGTTGTACCGCCCTTACCAGGGGCCAGGCTGAGTAATCCGCTCAGGTTTGCTTTTGGGAGCTTTTGTTCCCTGAGCACTTTCTGTAGAGTTCTGGAAGATGGGAATGAAGATGGCGGCCTCCCATTCTCCGGCCCGGAGGAGCCGAGAGCCCGGGGCCCCACTCCTCAGTGCGCCCTCAGAGAACAGCGCCCAATTACTCCCGTCACCCTGGCCTCCGGCCGCGCTCTGAGCTGACAGCCTGTGACCGGTTCAAGGTAACCCCGAGCTTAGAGCTCACTCCTCGGCTCTGTCTCTGTAGCCGGCTTCCCCGTTCTAATACCTGTAAGCTCTGCGACACTCAGACACCCCCGATCCTTCTGTGACCCTGAGGGACCTGAGGCCACGCTGACCCTGCGTGGGCTTCACCCCGGTTAAGCCTCTGGAGCGATGTCCCTCAGTGGAACTGACTTTTAAAAGTCCTGATTTTGTGCTCCGTTGCTCCGCTGCTTGCAGGGAGCCGGCCCCTCCCCCCGCGGTCTATCTTCTCGTCGCTTTGGATTCACTTCTCCACCAGTCCTACCTTTCAGAAAGTGGTTGATTTTCTGTTTCTAGAGTTGCTGTTCTTCTTCTCTTCGATCTCCCGTTGGATTTGTAGGTGTTTGCAATCTTTAGATAAGCTATCTAGCTGATCTCCCGCTACCTGAAGTAGTCTCAGCCTGCTACTTCTCCACCATCTTGACTCCTCTATACATAATATATTTTAATTATTTTAATTTTCTAGACTGGCTTGCTTTTTTAGTCTTAGGTTTTCTCTAAAAACATGCAGAGCAATTTCATTCATTTTAGTTAAAATTACCTTTCCTAGGCTTGTTTTACCTGTTCTCTCTATGTGTATATAAATTATTTTAAAAAAGCTGAAGTCAAAATGTCTTCCTAAACGTGCAAAGAAATAAATATTCCTTCCCAACTTATTTCTTCATTTTTTTTCTAGAGATATACTCAGTGTCTGAGTAGAGTATGGAACTTTATTTTTGTTTTTGTTTTAAGATTTTATGTATTTATTTGACAGAGAGATCACAAGTAGGCAGAGAGGCAGGCAGAGGGAGAGGGGGAAGTAGGCTCCCTGCTGAGCAGAGACCCCCCCCCCTCCTCCATGTGGGGCTTGGTCCCAGGACCCTGAGATCATGACCTGAACTGAAGGCAGAGACTTAACCCACTGAGCCACCCAGGCACTCCCCCACCCACCCCCTGGTGTACTGGTCTTTAAATCAACAGATTATTAATTTTTTGTCATGTTCAGTTATGTTTAAAAAAATTTTGTTGATAACTTAATTGTGCCATTTAGTAATGAAGTTAAAAAGTTTATTTTTATGTGCTCAGAATAATTTTTATCTTTATTTTATGACCTTAATTTTGTGATTATTGATGTCTAATTGATTTGTAATAAAGCTAAATAAAACCTGCTTGTGTGCCCCTCTCCCTTATTATTTTCCATTACATCAAATATTTTGTATAAGGCTTTATTTTGTAACTACCAGACACCTACCTTGTTGGACTTAGCAGGGACATGTTCTCCACTTTGTTGTTCTCCAATGTTCTATATTGTATAACTTTCAAAAACATACATAGTATATATAGAACATACTTCAGTCAAATTCTAAATAATGTTCAGGCAAATACTGTTCTTTATTAAATTAGATTTTTTTCTTTTTTTTTTAAGATTTAATAACTTATCTTTATTTTTTTAATTTAATTTTCTTTTTCAGTGTTCCAAGATTCATTGTTTATGCACCACACCCAGTTTCCTGTCCCCATTTTTTGTCCTGTTTACCCATATTTTTTAATCTAATTTTTTTTTAAATTTTTTTAAAGATTTTTATTTATTTATTTGAGAGAGAGACAGTGAGAGAGAGCATGAGCAAGGAGAAGGTCAGAGGGAGAAGCAGACTCCCCATGGAGCCGGGAGCCCGATGTGGGACTCTATCCCGGGACTCCGGGATCATGACCCGAGCCGAAGGCAGTCGTCCAACAAACTGAGCCACCCAGGTGTCCCTAATCTAATTTTTCTTAATGAAATGTTTTATCCTTATGCATATTTATACATGTATACACATCCATATGTATATGTATACTTAAAAAAGAATAAAAGAAATACCTGTGTACTCGTTATTCTGCTTTAGGAATAAAATTACTATAATATTCAAGATTCTTTTATGTCCATCCCTGGTGACATCTTAATCCTTCATCTCTCTTCTTTTGATAAGTTCTCTATGTCTTTTTAAAATCTGCTTCTGAGTTTTAACTCAAAGATTACTTTATTCTGGGAATTGGTCGTTGCCATGATTTTATGGGTTTATCTTTTGCTGGATTATTAGTTTTTCTGTAAATACAGATCCCAAGTTTATTCTGCTTTTCCATATTTACTTTAGATCAAGTTTAGGTTGGTGATGCACCATTTGGTCATCTTGCTAAGTAACGAACCAACCAAAAGACAATGTAAGGTTTCATTTAGAGAGTCAGTCTCTCTCTGTGTCTTTATTTATTTTTATTGTTAACTTACTCAAAATGGGACAAGTGGGAATACCATGACAGGTACAAACTTCTATTTTTTTTTTTTTTTTAATGACTTCATCTATGTACAACCTATTGTGGTTGTCAAACTTGTTTTCAAGGACAAATAGTTTGAAGTCTTCTGATTTATCTTCTGGATAGTCCTTGATGACATCAGTGTATGAATTATGTAGCAAAATGTATCCCTTTGGGAAGTGAGTTTCTAACTTTACTATATTAAAACATGTTACTATTTCTAATTTTTCATGTTGTATTCTGTCAGAGAAAGGATTGGTCTGTCAGTTTAGTTTATGTTAACTGATAATTCTAGGTATTGATTTGAGTACTGAAGACCAGTTTGAATCTGTGTTGGAACTGTAGTTGTTTTCTTACTAGGAATTTGAGTTTCAGAACTTTGGATTCTGTTGGAAATGGTGAGGAAACTGGCTTACTGAAATTGATACAATAGTTATTTTGTTAAATATATTGAATTAAGTGATTGTAAAACCAAATCTAAAAAAAAAACCCCTAATTTTATTTTGTTTTTGTTTTTGTTTTTTGTTTTTGTTCTGTTTTGTTTTTTAGAGCTCAGTTCCCCCAAAATTATAAAAGCAGGAAAACTCAAGACAAAGAAATCCAACAAGGTGTGTTTTTAAGCTATATTCTTCTTAGCTATGTTGATTTTGAAAATTGGTGTGTTAGAAACTGTTAGATTATTGTGTACTTTTCTTCTAGTTGTATCATTGATGTTAGGTTAAAGTTAATATACTAGAGAACTGTAGCCTTTGTCCAAATCCTGCATGTATTAATTTATTCTATTATCTTATGTAAATCAATTTAGTGTCATTAAATAGTTCCAGAAGGTGGATCATAAGACCCATGCATTATTATTTTAGTGTTCTGTTGTTTGCAGAGATTTTTGAGTTAATTTGGCAAATACCTACATATAATTGTATGTAGGTGATTTTTAAAATTGCTTTCACTTTTAGAAAATATTTTTTCTATTTAAGATTTCTAATTTGCAGATATAACACTTATTTATTACTTCTTAGGCTAGTGATTTCAGCGATATGGCGAATTGGCCAACACCAAGTGAATTAGTGAACACTGGAGTGAGTATTGTTTTAAGACTTTTTCTTAATGAAGAGAAAATAGTCTCATTTCAACATGCAAAATTTATTTTATTTCAGATTTAGAGAATTACATTAATAAAGAAGTGCTGAAAACTTAAGAGCTATCCTTTTTATAGTCTAACCCACTTTTCAGAACCTGATTTTATTCATCATGTTGTCTTCATCTCATTGTATTCTCAAGAAGTAATCTTACATGTGGAAGGGGTGATTAACCTGCTGTTATCTTCATATAATGCCTACAATTAAAGAGATTAAAAACATTTTTTTTTTAAAGATTTACTTACTTGAGAGAGATAGAGAACCCCATGCACAGGAGTGGGAGAGGAAGAGAATCTCAAGCAGACTCTGCTGAGCTCAGAGCCCTAGGCAGGGGTCCATCCCAGGACCCTGAAATCATGACCTGAGCTGAAATCAGGAGTCTGCTACTCAACAGTCTGAGCCACCCAGGTGCCCCAAAAGAGATTAATTTTTAACATGAGTCTAATTTGAAGCCCATTTTATTTCAGAATTTGTTACATTTTTTGATACATAATCTTTTCAATATGTTTTGAAGTGCTAATTATATATACACACATGTATGCATTTATGAATAGCATATCAAATCAAGTGTTCAGTGAATGGATTTTTAATTTATTTTTAAAGATTTTATTTATTTATTTGAGAGAGGCAGGGAGGCACAAGTGGGATGGGGCAGAAAGTAAAGGGAGAAGCATACTCCTCACTGAGAACTTACTTGACATGGGGCACAATCCCAGGACCCCCAGATCATGACCTGAGCTGAAGGCAGATTTTTTTTTTTTAAAGATTTTATTTATTTATTTGACAGAGATCACAAGTAGGCAGAGAGGCAGGCAGAGAGAGAGAGGGAAGCAAGCTCCCCGCTGAGCAGAGAGCCCGATGTGGGACTCGATCCCAGGATCCTGGGATCATGACCTGAGCCGAAGGCAGAGGCTTTAACCCACTGAGCCACCCAGGTGCCCCTGAAGGCAGATTTTTTAAAGCTTTTATTTATTTATCAGAGAGAGAGAGGGAGAGGGAGAGGGAGAGCGAGAGCACATGCACACAAGCAGGGGGAATGGCAGGCAGAGGGAGAAGCAGGCTCGCTGCTGAGCAAGGAGCCGATGTGGGACTTGATCCCAGGACTCTGAGGTCATGACTCATGTTGAAGACAGGTACTTAATCGATTGAGCCACCCAGGTGCTTCTCCAACCCCTGATTTTTAATTTAAACTATGAAAGAAACAAAAAGATGTTTCTGAGATACTCTATCAATGTTCATGGAAATTGTTTCATTCAGAAAAACTTTTTGCAGTGCCAGAGTGTCATCAGCCAAGGAAATAAGAAGCCACAAAATAGAAAAGAAAGAGAAGACAAGGTTGAAAAGAGAATTAGCAGTGAGAGCAAAGAAAGCCGGGAAACAAAATTAGATGGTCCTGGTGAAAATGCCAGTGAGGATGAGACTCAGTCAAGTAATCAACGAAAGAGAGGTTAGTTCATCTATAACCTCATTTTTCCAGCAGTTTTATTGATATAATTGATATATAACATTGTGTAGCTTAAAGTATACAACACAGTGGTTATATTGTGAAGTGATTCCCACAATTTTAGTTAATATCTATTTTCCCTGAGTCACAATTTTCTTATGATGAGAACTTTTAAGATCTAGTCTCTTAGCAACTTTCAGATACATAGTACAGTATTGATAACTGTAGTCACCATGCTGTAATATTACATCTCCAGAACTTATTTGTCTTATAACTGGAAGTTTGTACCTTTTGACCACTTTCACTCATTTCCCCACACCACAACCACCAGTCTGTTCTCAGTTACTGTGAATTCAACCATTTTAGATTCCACATGTAATTAAGATCATACTGTATTTATCTTTCTGGCTTATTTCACTTACCATAATGCCTGCACGGTCCATTCATGTTGTTGCAAATGGAAGGATTTCCTTCTTTCTCATGACCTTCTTTCCTTCTTTCTCAATAATATTCCATTGTATATTTATACATCATATTTTCTTTATCCGTTCATTTGCCAATGGACACGTAGGTTGTTTCCAAGTCTTGGTTAGATGGTCCTGGTGAAAATGTCACTGAGGATGAGGCTCAGTCAAGTAATTAATGAAAAGAGGTTAATTTAACTATATCTTCGTTTTGATTTTAATTTTTTGAAGAAAGTCGTAGTAATGAATTATATTTAATTAGTTGATTCCTAGTAGTCACCAATAGGTATTTTAGATTTCTTCAGGATTCTAGCTGCAGTAGTAGCTGATTTGGTTTTGTAACATTCTTGAACTATTAGGTTTTTCTTTATTTCTTTTGACTTATACTCTACGTAGTATATAATGAAGTTATAGAGCTTGGCATGGATAAATTCTTTTTTTAAAAAATATATTCTTGAATTTAATATATTCTTGAAAAGTGTGATAATTATTTTTGAAATCTGCAGTGGAACTGCTCCCTGTTTTTCAGGGAGTACCTTTTTTTTTTTTCCTTTTTAAAGATTTTATTTATTTATTTGACAGAGAGCACAGCAGAGGGAACAGCAGGCAGAGGGAGAGGGAAAAACAGGTTCTGCTGAGCAGGGAGCCCAATGCAGGGCTCCATCCCAGGATGCTGGGATCATGACCTAAGCTGAAGGTAGACACTTAATGACTGAGCCACCCAGGTGCCCCTTTCAGGGAGTTCTGAGTAAATATTTTCTAAGAGAAAAATTTGGGCCAACTTTTTTTTTTTCCATAGCATTTCTCCATTAAATTACCCATTGAAGAAAAAATAGTCTTTGTATCCTTTTCCATATATTTTACACAACTTTTCATGTGTCTCTAGGGACAGATTATGATTTAACTGCTTTGTAAGAGCATATACACATTCAGTGTTCTGAGCCTAGGTTAAAGTGTTTTCAGGGACCCTCAGGCAGAAAAGTTCTTTTAAACTGTTGGAAGGTCAGTAGCTGAGACAAGGTGAGCATTGGGAGAAGTGACAAGAGATGCTGTGGGAGAAGTAAGCAAGTTCACGTTGTGCAGGGCTTCAGTAGTGTGGAATTAGCATTTTGAGTGCTGTGGGAAGCCATTAAAGCATTTTAATTCATGGAAGTGATGTGACATGGGAGGGGACATTTTATAATGAGGTGTAATTTCCAGCCAACTTCTTTAATAATGGAACTAATAGTATACTGTATATTGAGCACTTACATGATTTTTTAAAAATATCTAATCCTTAGCTTTAGGGTAAGCATATTAGGCTCACTTGATACAATGAGCCAAGGCTAATTGCTCAAAAGTGGTTTGCAATAGGACAACCATGTGGTTGTTAGTCAAAAATTTCCCCATTCCTTAAACATATTTGTCACTTAGCTTTTTTATGCTGCTTAGATACATTAAGTCTTTTTTGATTGTCTAGAATTCATACAGATGATAGGTATGTCATTCTGCTTTAAAATTTGTCTTCTGTGTTAGTTGCTATAATTAAAAGTGATCAGACAACACTAAAATCCAGGTTTTTATAGATAAACTCATACAAGAGTCATGAATTGACTCTCCTTGGAGCACCCTTTTTTTAAATAAAAAAAAAAAAACAAAAACAAACCAAAAACAAAGCCTTTAAGGAAAGGCTTGTTTATACCAGAGAATCTCCCTGATAGAATTTATAGTATGAAATTTAAAGAGTTTTTTGATTCTTTCATATTCTCTTCCTTGTCTGTGAGTAGTTTGCAGGATTTATAGGAAATCAGTATTGTAGTTGCATACTGGTAATTCCCTTTCCCTCAATTACCGTAGTAGTTTTTCCTTTGCACATGAGTCTTGCTGTTTTAATCAAAAATATATATTGAATAGAAGACTAAATATTTTGAAACTTTACCTATGGATTCCACAAATTAAGTAATCTTCAGAATTTCACTATAGTATAACAATTACACTATCATTTAGTCAGCAAAAGAAGTTAAATTGCTTGTATCTCATCTCAAGAAAGTGTGTAGTCGCTATAAAGAGATTTATCAAATGCAGTTAGACAAATTTTATACCCTAATTTTGAGAAACCTATTTCATTATTAGTAATGCTGGGTAAACGACTATTTTGGACAGTAACCTGAAACCAAAAATGTTTTGAATCCTTAGCCAAACTTTCAGTGTGTACTTTATAATGTCTTATTAGATACCCCATTCTAAAGCGAGAGTCAGTTATTAGGAGCAGTGTATTTCATGTACTGCTTATTCATCAGAATTAAAAGAGTGGACATTTTTCTTGAAAGTAAAGAAAACCAATGATATTCCATCAGCTGGCTCTTCACATGAATTTTAGAAATATTTGCACAGGTAAGTTTATCAAGGAGCTCTGTGAAAAGAAAATTAGTTCTCTACAAGAAACTTTGAGGACAAACTAAGTCTCACATTTGATTAAAATCTAGCATCCTCTCAAAATTGCAGAGCTTTAATGAAAATTATACAGTGTCATTAAATGGTTTTATTTGGTTTTCTTCAAGCCAATAAGCACAAGTGGGTACCACTCCACTTAGATGATGTAAGACCAGACAGTCAAGAAAGACCAGGATCCCGGAACAGTTCAAGATGTCAACCTGAAGCAAATAAATCATCACATAATAATAGGAGAAATGATACCCGAAGTAAGTTACATTCTAAGAGAAAAATGACACTTAAGAACTTAGTGTTAATGTTCATAATTTTAATAATTATGTTTAGAATAAACTATTTGAGAATAAGTTGCAGACATTGTGCCCCGTTTAACACTAAATACCTTCAGAGTATGTATCATAAGAACAGTAATGTGGTATGACTGTCCACAGGCAGATTTTCCCATAATGTCCTTTTCAATTTTTTTCCTCCTTTCCAGGATTAAATCTGAGATCATGCATTGCTTTTAATTGTCTTTTCTGTTTGGTCCCCATTAATCTAGAGCAGTTCTGCTTTTGTCTTTGATGACTTTTTTTTTTTTTTTTACCTGAAGACTTTGGGTCATTTAGGTGGCAGATATCTCACTTTGGGTTTTCTGGTGTTTGCACATGATTAGATTTGGGTTATGAATCTTTGGTAGGAATACTGCAGAACTTAAATGGTTTTCTTCTCAGTGCATGGAAACACACATGATGTTGGTTTGTCTTCTTATTGTTGATATTAATTAACTTTGAACACTTGATTAAGGTGATGTGCTCCAGGTTTCTTTTCTTTTTCTTTCTTTCTTTCTTTTTTTTTTTTTTTAGGATTTTATTTATTTACTTGATAGAGTGATAGTAGCAGAGGGAGAGGGAGAAGCAGACTCACCAGGGAGTGAGCAGGGAGCCTGATGTGAGGCTTGGCTGGATCCCAGGACCCTGGGATCATGACCTGAGCCCAAGGCAGGCCCTCAACTGACTGAGCCACCCAGGCACCCCAGGTTTCTTTTTTTCTCCTTCATAATTAATATGTAAATTTTGGAAATAACCAGTTTTTCATCAGACTTTCACATGAGCTTTAGTTTGCATTGATGATTCTTGCCTGATTCAGTTATTACCATAATCATTGCAAATGCTGATTTTTCTTACTATATTATTACTTCTATATATATTAGTTGTATTCTTCCACTATAAGGAATGACTTCTGTTATTATCCGTGTGGGTTTAGGGCTAATTTTTGGGGGGGATTATAATCCATTATTGTAATTTTTTAGTTTGATGCTTAGATTTGGGATCCTCTTACAGGTGATTTCTGGCTCTTTTTTTAAAAAGTCTACTGAGTTCTGAGCTATGAATTATACATGTATAAAATACATTCACATATAATGTTGTTACTTAAAGATCATTTCCCAGATACATTATTTCAACAGGATTTCCCACATTTCAGAAAGCATAGAACAGTAGGAGATATGAGACAACAATTAGAGGAGCATTTGGTTTTATAGGTCTCTGCTGAAATCTTAAGGCTGATAATTTTTTTTTTCTAGCCTGATAATTTCCAAAGCATAAATGTGGTTCTGTGAGTGGAGAAGGCTTAAGAAAATTTTACAAACCTTATACTACTAGTTAAAACTTTCCACTTATATTATGAAAAACCTTAAGCACACAAAAAGTTGAAAGAATTGTACAGTGAATACCTGTCTAACCAGGGCCTAGATTTAGTAATTTTCCTATATTTAACTCACCTTTCTATTGAATTATTTGAAAGTTAACTTATAGGTAATCATGACACTTCAGCACTGATGTCCTAAAAAAATGCAACATCTAGGAATCGACAGTAATTCCCTAATATCATCTGGAATCTAGTTATATTTACTCAGCTGTCCTCAAAATATGACTCTAAAATTATGAAACTTGTCTACAAAAAGACATTTTTGCCTTTGTATTGTTTATTCTCAAATATATCACTTTAATGTTAAAAAAGTAATATATATTCAAAATTAATGTTTTTTTCTTACTAAATATTGGGCCCATAAGAAGACATGAGGGTTTTAAAGAACAACAATATAAGCAACACTGGGAAGTCAGCACCAAGTTTAGAAATGCATATATTATCATTACCTTTGAACTTCCTTGTTTGCCCCTGGCAGTTTCATTCCATTCCTTCTCAGAAAAGAAGGCCTGAATGTTTGTTTTTTCAGTATTTTTTACATGATATTGACATTCAGTATGACTCCATTAACATATTCTTTAGAACCAATTTTTTTTGCTTTAGTCTGATTTTCTTAGGTTATATTGCTGTGAGTCCTTTTCCTTGTCGAAGGTTATTTCACTATTTGATAAAATCTGTTGGTAGACCTTTGGATTGTTTCAGTTTTTTGATATTAAAGTGCTACCGTGTACATTTTAATGCATGTTTTCCTGTAAACATGTACAAGAGGTTCTTGGGGTAATTTATTCAGACTGCAGCCCATGAGTGTGTTATGAAATTGGTGTACTGGGTCATGATCAGGTTTTTTGAAAAATGGATAGACTCTAGAGTGCTTCACTCAAAATATATTTTTCATGACAATTTGTGTGTGTGTGGTTTTTTTTTTAGGATTTTATGTATTTATTTGAGAGAATGAGTGGTGGGCAGGGGCAGAGGGGGAGAGAGAGAAGCAGACTCCCTGCTGATCAGAAAGCCAGATGTGGGGCTTCATCCCAGGACCCAGAGATCATGACCTGAACTGAAGGCAGACACCCAACCGACTGAGCCACCATGTGTCCCAACAATTGTGTTTAAATTATAAAAAAAAATTTGTGTATTCTAGGGTGTAATGTATAGTAAGTCTTACTGTGGATTGAGGCAGATGTGTTTGAAAAAGAATATATTAAGATAAGCATTAAGGGGGCGCCTGGGTGGCTCAGTGGGTTAAAGCCTCTGCCTTCGGCTCGGGTCATGATCCCGGAGTCCTGGGATCGAGCCCCGCATCGGGCTATCTGCTCAGCAGGGAGCCTGCTTCCCTTCCTCTCTCTCTGCCTGCCTCTCTGCCTACTTGTGATCTCTCTCTCCATCAAAAAAAAAAAAAAAAAAAGCATTAAGGAGGAATTGCAGCATTTAGGTCAGTGATTCTCAATGGAAGTGATTTTCCCCTACCCCTAAGGGGGAATTTGGCTTTGTCTGGAGATAATACTGGTTTTCACAACCGGGGTATGGGGGGTTAGTGCCTGCTACTGGCATCTAGTGGGTTGAGATCATGGATGATACTAAACATCCCCCAGCCCCCTATACTAGAGAACTGTCTGGCTCAAAATGTCAGTAGTGCCAAGGTTGAAAAACCTTGATCTGTAGGATATATGTATATAGATATAGATATAGATATAGATATAGATATCGATAGATAGATAGCTTTGAATTTACTTGATTATTCTGAATTGTTTTTCAAAGTGGATGTGCCTGGCTTTGCTCTCACTAATGGTATATAGTGTTCTTTTTTCTGTCTTGGTCAATGTTTGAAATTTTAAGGCCTTAAAATTTTGTTAGCCTCTGGTAGATCAAATACTCTGTCTTAATTTGTGTTTCTCATGACTGGTGAGGCTGAATGCCACTTTCTATATTTATGGTCTCTTTGCACCTGTTTGCCTACCTGTCTTTTAGCCATTTTTCCCATTGAGTTACTGTGTGTGTGTACAGTGCATATGCACTAATGCATTCTATATTCTGAGTATAATTCCTATATTGTACTGCAGATAACTTCCAGTTTCTTATTTTTTTTTTAAGATTTTATTTATTTATTTGAGAGGGAAATAGAAATCACAAATGGGAAAAGGGGGAGAGGCCAACTCTCCACTGATCAGGGAGTCCAGCACAGGGGTTGGGGGGTGGGGGATGGTGGTGCTCGATTCCAGGACCCTGAGATCATGACCTGAGCTGAAGGCACATGCTTAATCCACTGAGCCACCCAGGTGCCTCTCTTCTAGTTTGTCTTGTGTTTTCATTTCCTTTTTTCTTTAAAGGAATGTCTTTACTTAAATTGAGACAACCTTTCCTTAAACATTTTGTGAAAAGTTGTTTTTAAGTTTTATATAATGCAAACTCAGTCATCTTGGAACTTCCAGAATCTTCAGTAGTATCATCTTTTTTTTTTTTTTTTAAGATTTTTATTTATTTATTTGACAGACAAAGATCACAAGTAGGCAGAGAGGCAGGCAGAGAGAGAGAGAGAGAGAGAGGAGGAAGCAGGCTCCCTGCCGAGCAGAGAGCCCGATGCTGGATCTGACCCCAGGACCCTGAGACCACGACCGAGCCTAAGGCAGAGGCTCTAACCCACTGAGCCACCCAGGCGCCCCTCAGTAGTACCATCTTAACAAAGGACCTCTTTATCTTTTTAGTATGTTACTTTGCTTATTAGAACGTCTTCTTTATATGTCAGTACTTCTGTAGGCCCTCTTTTATGCCAGGGACATTTTGACAAATTCCTTTGAGATCTCCTAAATTTTTAACTATCCGAAGAAGAAGGTGGGGGAGGGGGTAGTTACCATGCATTCATAAAAATAATCACATTATTCACTGTTGCAAATTGGAATGTATAAAAATATTTTTGTTTTCAAAAGGTTGGAGGCGTGATAGAGAAAAGAGAGACGATCAAGATGAAGTTTCCAGTGTGAGAAGTGAGGGTGGTAATATCCGAGGTTCCTTTAGAGGTCGAGGAAGAGGCCGAGGACGGGGAAGAGGACGAGGCAGAGGAAATCCTCGATGTAGGACATGAATTTTTATTTTTTAAAATTTGATAGTTTAAAAAAAGTGTGCAAGCCCTTTTCCCCCCACTATCCTATACAGTGTTTTAAATAATTTTTTTTGGTCTGATAATAAAGATGTCTTATATTTGTTATCCCTTGGAATACTTCACTTTGGGTTGTTCCTTATGGTGACTATTTCTCTTTAAGAAAAATTTGTAATCACATTTCTTTTTCTTTATTCACATCAAGTGAACTTCGATTATTCATATGGTTATCGAGAACATGGTGAAAGGACTGATCAGCCATTTCAAACAGAACTTAATACCAGTATGATGTATTACTACGATGATGGTACAGGTGTACAGGTGTATCCTGTGGAAGAAGCATTGCTTAAAGAATATATTAAACGCCAAATGTAAGTCGGACATAGATGTCCTACATCAAACCTTAACATTATTGATAGTGAATACATTATAACACGTTTTCTAAGCTGTTTATTAGTAAAATTGGAAGATTTTAGTGGTATTTTTTTTCTAGAAAATGTTAATACAACATGAAGTTTTTTTTTTTTTAAACTTATATTTGGCTTATATTGTGTTATATAAGACTCCTGGTTTGTCTACTGTTCAGGTATTTCTCTGTTTAAAGGGTATTAGTTGAAAGAGTATTGTCAGGGTATAATGCATGATTAAATATAAATATAAAACTGCTGTGTATATACATGAAGTTGAACAAAGCCTGGCTTATTATTTGCAAATATATTTTTATATTGAAATTTGCAAATGAACATAAATAGCAAAACATGGTGGTAGATACTTTTTTACTTTCTTAGCAAATGATTTCAGAATTCTAAGTTTATTTTTTTAACTTTTAAGTTCTCATTCTTTGTGACACATATTGAAGGGGAACTACCTCATCTTTTTTAGTTCAGACTTTTTACTCTAGTTCTCATAATTGCCTTCTGAATACTGAAGCTGAAGTTAGAATATTTTATTGTCTTTAAGAAAGAAAAACGCTAGTACATATTAGTACTATAGGATGTTTCGCATATTTATGTAATGTATTTATTGGTGAGAAAAATGTCCCCAAGTGATTTGCATAACCAGTTTGCTGAAATTTGATTATTTTTTGTTCTTACAATGTACAGGAGAAGGCTATTTTTGGAAGGGTAGAAGCATCTTAAAAACATCTTCCTTTAAGAAAGAAAATTTACTGTTACTAGAAAATAGTTTCCTCATCAGCATCATCCAGGCATCTTCCTGGGATGCCTTCATGGTGGATTTGATTGGCTTACATACAATATGAGGCAACTTGTTTATTTTGTTCTTGCTTCTTCTGTTACAGTTGACGCAAACACTGAAGAAAAGGGCCTTTTTATGGGCAGAAAGTGCCTGGCATGTGGCTATCAACTTCAAACCACTATTCCTGTCTTTTTTGTAACTCTTGCTGCCAGGTCCCTTCTGATACCTGACAGTGGATATGCAACTCCATGTCAGGATAATCGGCCTCCAGTGTGCTCATACAAGTGAGGGAGGAGCAGAGCTACATCAGTGTTGAGAAAATTTCTGATCATGCAGTGTAGAATCCAGAGCTTCTAAGGTAGGACATGATAATGTCCCCTAGGACACTGAACAAATGTCAGACACAGCATTGGGCATGACTCCTCTTTTTTGTTGTTATTGTTTTAGCAGTAGGATTTTGGCAGATGGTAGAGCACTAGGTTTAGAATGGCTCTTTACTGTTATTGTTCTTTGATTAGTAGAGTCCTGCTTTGAGGAGTCATGATTTTGACTTTGTTTTCCTTGAGGTTTCTCATAGGTAGGCTCAGGGTTTACATTTTTTCTTTGAGAAGTTACTGAAAAACTTTCTTCATTTGTGGAAAAGTGTGCTAAATGTATTTTGAAGTAAGAAGCTTAACTATATTATGGATGATAGAATTTTTAAAATAATTTTAACTGAAAAATATATTAATAATTTGTCATTTTTGTGTCAGAATATTAAAAATTTAAGATCTTGATTATTTCTAGCTTCTGAATCTGGCATTCAGATTTAGAGATGAGTAGTTTGTAGCCCATTAGAAGTTTAAAAAAGTATACCCTATAGGTAATAGGGTGATTTATGAATTTATTCAGATACTAAGGTTTTCACAAAGTACTAGAATAAAAAGCTGTCTTATTAATGATTCAGAGAAGTTTTTGTCTAAGAACAGTTTTAACTTGTGACTAAATCAGATGTCCTCATTTGTGAAAATTTAGAATTTAAGTATGTATATTTTGTGCCTACCACGTCTGGCACTGTGAAAAGGACTTTTGATGTGTAACAAAAATTAGAACACATGTGTTATGTGCCCACCACATGCCAGGCACTGTGAAAAGGGCTTTTTTTGAGGTGTAACAAAATCTGAATGTTTATTTCTTTAAGACTAAGATTTTTTTCTTCAGTGTTTAAGATGAGTAAATGATTTACTGGTGTTACTGAGATGTCAGGTGTATTTCACTGATCTCTAAGGGAGTTTTGCACTTCAATAGTTGGGTAAATCTCTGAGTATAAAGAAACAACTTGAGTATTTACATTTCTAAAGATTTTTTTTTTTCCTTCCAGTGAAAAGTAGCTCAAAGCCATTCCTCATTTATGGGTGATTATTTCTTCAAAGTTAGAATTTGACCTAAATATTTCAGGGGTATCTTTAGTCACCCAGTGTTACACCAAAGTATATGATTTAGTATCCTTTCTCATAATTTGCCACCGATCTTTGAAAACTGTCTCTGATTTGGAAACATTATAGGATTATTAACCTGTAGGCCATATTATCATTGATGTCATGTATTTCTTTTGTATTCTTTTGTGTATTTCCCTCCATTGTCCTTTTGGTTGCTCTATAATTCTTTTCTTACTTTTCTGTATGGAGGCTGTAATTTTAAATGTGTTTCTCAAATGCCATTATTAAATATATCTATATTATCTTTGTATCTTGGAACTTCTACTTATTGATTATACAGTTTGTCCACTTAAATTTCTCTTTATACTTTCCTAGAGAAGATAAAGGTATTTAAGCTTTTTTTGTATTTTTACCCCATGTATCTCATAGTATCATAGATATTTCTTGTTTAGCTATATATTCTGTTCACTCTTAATGTCTTTTATAGTTCTCTCCATCAAAGAAAGAGGGAGATCTTGCAAATATATAATTGTGTGTGTGTGTGTGTGTGTGTGTGTGTGTGTGTACACCTGTGCTCGTATATTCACTAAATTTTTACTCAGCATTGTGCTGATTGCTGGGATTCAGAAATACTAAACAATGTCAGTACCTTGTCAATTTAGAAAACAAAACAAAAACTGTAATCTACTCTGTAAAGTTAACAAAGAATACTTCCAAAAATAATGTACTTCTCAGTAATGGGGAAAAAGTTGAAGGCAATCTGTTGACCTGTATTTAGTCAGCTAAATGAAGCAAGTTAAGATAGTTTTTAACGAAAATTTTCACTTAATTGACTTATTTTACAAAATCAGTTATTGAACTATTTTAAAGTAGAAAGCTGGTTAATTCTTTTTGCTTAGATAAAGCTGACCTAAGTAGACGTTAATATTAGGTTTTTGGGAGTGAATCAGTATTCTAAATGTCTTTCTACTCATGGATAAGAAATTATAAACTCAGTAGGGTTTTGCTCTTTCTTGTATTTACCCTATATCTAAGTTGTATTAAATCTATTTGTTATTAATAAAATAATTTTAAAACTGTTTATAAATAAGCCATAGATATTTTTATTTCCTGTTGAATACATGAAATAAAGGTAATCTTTATTTCTTTTTGTTTATGTTTCTTTTTTTCAGCGAATATTACTTCAGTATAGAAAATTTAGAACGGGACTTCTTTCTTAGGAGAAAGATGGACGAACAAGGTTTCTTGCCTATTTCCCTGATTGCTGGTTTCCACCGTGTTCAGGCTCTCACTACAAACCTTAATCTCATTTTAGAGGTAATTATTCATGTACAAAACAGTTCCAAAACAGCTGTACTTTCCTAAAAGTGCTCTAAAAGTAATATGTGAACCTAAAAGTGCTCTAAAAAGTAATATTAAACACCTTAAGGAAAAAGCACAAAAATAATCTTTAGTTGCCTAAGGCTTAGACTGCATCTCATGGCCTGTTTTCATTTTATAAAACCCAAATAAATGCCTAATCCTGGAAACCCCTCAAATGGGGTTTACTAATGGTGTTTCCACGTATTTCTAACCTGATCCTTCAAACTTGGACCTTCTTGATTGTGCTTGGTCTTTTAGTCTTCTCAGATTGCTGCAAAATAAAATGTATTTCTATTGATTAAAATTTTTAGGATTTTTCCTGTGCTATAATTTAAAACTGTTTTAAATTATAATAATAATATAATATAATGATATATAGTTTATATATCACATATCATATATAATAATTATATTAACACATAATTAATGATGTAAATAATAATATATAATTATAGTAAAATTATATAATTATTCCACTTGTATTCTTAATGCTTTCATTAAATTTTTTGTCTGTCCTATTCTAGAAATGCTGTGAACATTTTTGGTTTTCTGTTCTGTATATACATGTAAACAAATTTGCCCTTTTGCTGTAATTTTGCCAGACTTGCATTCTTGTGCCCCTGTGTAGCCAGTCCCTTTTCCCATACACAAGCCCTGGAACCATTGATTGGATTTTTGTCCCTTTAGTTTTGCCTTTTCCAGAATATATAAGTAAGTTACATGTTTCTAGGTAGTTTGTAGCCCTTTATTTCTGATTTCTTTCACTTAGCATAGTGCTTTTGAGATTTGTGTTGTACATTATCAGTAGTTTGTTCTTATTGTTGATTAGTATTCCCTAGTGTGGATGTACCACAGTTTATCCATTCACTTGTTGGTAGACACTTAGATTGTTTCCAGTTTTTGATCATGAGTAAAGCAGAAGGGTCTTTGTGTGGATATATGTTTTCATTTCTGTTGGATAAATATTGAGGATTGTGATTGCTGGTATGTATTGTAAGTGTATTAACTGTAAGAAGTATGTCTAAAGTGGGTTTGACCATTTTGCATTCCACCATTTTGTATGAAAGTTCCATTTGTTCTGTAGCCTCATCAGTATTTATTTGCCATCAGTGTACTTTTTGTGTTGAAATGCCTGTTCAGATATTTTGCCTTTTTTTTTTTAATCAGAGAAGGGTGAAAGCACAAGCAGGGTAGAGGCAGTCAGAGGGAGAAGCAGGCTCCCCATTGAGCAGGGAGCCTGATGTGGGACTCGATTCCAGGACCCTGGGATCATGACCTGAGCTGAAGGCAGATGTCTGCTCAATGAACTGAGCCACCCAGGCATCCTTATTTTGCCAGTTTTTAATGGAGTAAGAGTTCTTCTGAATACAAATCCTTTGTGTTTTACAAATATTTTTTCCCACTCTTTGGCTCATCTTTTTATTTTCTTAACAGACTTCTTTAGCAAATTTTTGTGAACATGTGTGCTCTGGGCTTTAAAAACTAGCTACAGGAAGATTTAAGATTTCAAAAACAAAAACTAATGATTTGTTATTTGTTGATATGTAATTACTGAGTCTTTGTTTTATGAAAGAAATTATTTCAAGTACTACCATTATTACATTTGTTTATATATGCCATCTAAATAGTTTCTATTTTCTAAGAAAACTTAGTTTTTTCCTGCAAAGCCTAGTCTTCAGAAAAATATTATGATTATATTCATAGTAGAATGAGTTTATTAACTACTGCCATCATTTGTGCTAAAGCAAAGATATATCTGTCATTATATATATATATATATATATAAATATATACAAATTTATAATATATATATAGTCATTTTCAGTGAATTTGTTACTGATTTCCCCCACTCTCTGTAATTCTGTAGGAATCTGGTTATAATATCATTACTGTATGGTTTTTTTGGTCTCTTGGTGTCCCCATTAAGTCTGCCCACATAATTTTTAGGTTATTGATTATCAATCTGTTTCCTTATAATTTACAGCAGTAGGGAAGGAATAGTTAAAAGGACTTTTGCTTTACTGTTATGAATTGACATAGTTAAGCATAGTGATTTAGAACAGCATAGGCTGCATTCACTTAACATTCATTATGCACCTACCATTGGTTACAGTGGGAAAGTCGTCGGTTTTCTGTTAAGAATGTAGAATTTCATTGGGCTTTGCAATATAAACATACTGATTTAGAGTACAGACTTGAGAACCAGTATATATATCCTTATAGTTTTGTGATCTTGGGCAATGTCTTGAGACTTCTGCAAAGTGGAAATGATAACAATACGTACCTCATAGGGTGTTGAGGATGAAATGTTTAATGACAGTTTCTGGCACAAACAGCCCTAAATGAGAATTTTCTATTATTGTTAGTCTTCAAGGATGCCCTTCTATTGTTCGCTCCTTTTTTTGGATCTTCATTTCAATACATCAACATCAACATTTTGTTATATGCATTTTGATATGCTCAAGCTTTCTTTCCTGAAGAACTGTGAAAAGCAAAATAAACCTTAGTTCATACCCCTATCTGTCCCAGTTGAGGTTTTCTACATAGCCAGTCTTACTGAATCTGTTTCCTCCCATTCATTTGCGGCTCATTATATTTTTTTTTAACTTGATATCTATATATATATTGTAATAGGATTGTTATTATAGTGATATTTATCACATAATTATAGTACAGTATTGTCTGTAGTCATTGTACTGTGCATGAAATCTCTGTGGATTATTTACTACTTGTTGCCAGTTAGTACTCTTAAACAACACCAGTCTTATTCCCCCACCTGCTATTTCCTGATAACCACCGTTTTATTCTTTTTTTAAATGAGTTTCACTTTTTTATATTCCACATACAAGTGATATCATACAGTACTTGTCTTTCTCTGACTTACCTCATTTAGCATAATGTCCGGAAGATCCATCCATGCTCGTGGCTGAATAATATTCTGATATATATTTGATACATATGTATTTGATATATATATATATATATATGTGTGTGTGTATATATGTGTGTGTGTGTGTGTGTGCGTGTGCGCACGCACGCACGCTACATTTTCTTTATCTCTTCATCTGTTGATGGGTGTTTAGTTTGTTTCTTAGTTTGTTTCCACATCGTAGCTACTGTGAATAATGCTGCAATAAACATGGGTGTGCAGGTATCTTTTCAGAATCCTATTTTCATTTTCTTTGGGTATATACCCAGAAGTGGAATTCCTGGATCATATGGTAGATCCAGTTCACTGCATTCTTGATTTCAGTGAACAGAGAGCTATTTGTGATATCCTTTCTTTTTTTTTTAATTCAATTAATCCTTGATCTTTAGCTAATCAGTTGTATGACTGTTCAAGTTATTTAACCTTAACCTCTTCATGCTTGTTTTCTCACTGTTAAAATAGGGCAAATAATACTAAACTATCACAGAGTATAAGGACTTAAGAGAAATAATTAATGTATTTGTAATGTCCTTGAACTATTCTTGCTATTCCCATCTGAAACTGTTTTCTAAATTGGCTGACTGTGGTTCCTCAGAATGTGTGCTGCTGTCTTATCTTTTAAGTTTTTGCACATGTAGATCTTTTCTCTTGGTACCAGGCATAGGACCAGGAACTAGGAATATATTATCTATGTATTCTAACGTTGGTAATTATTCATAATAATATTTGGTCCATTTAAGAAAAGGACTAAAATTAGTAGTTAGAAAAGCCATCAGCTATCCAAAAATATTAACTGCACACTCTAACTCATTGTTTAGGACTTCAGGGTAATCATGGTTTGGTTTTAATAAGACTCTTGTCTAGATCTTTTCCTTAATTTTGTATAAAACATAATTTTTATATGATGTTTGTAAGTTCTAAATCACAACATTCACTTGTTCTCTTTATTTTCTTAACTTTTTCAATAGGGAATAAATTTCCTGTGATTTAAGATTCAAAGGGTATGTAGTGAACAATTTCCTTCCCATCTTTTACTAATAGTTAACTAGTTAAACCTTTCTTGGTGACAGTCAGTGTTACTTCTTTTTTGTGTATTTTTCCCAAGATACTACATATTATACTACATATATTGTTATGCCCTTTTTTAAAAAACAGTATATATTAGATTATTCAGGGTTGTGTATAAATAACTTTGGGTTTTTTTCCCACTCAGATTTTTTCTTTTAAACTGAGGCATAATTGGGGTGCCTGGGTGGCTCAGCCATTAAGGGTCTGCCTTCGGCTTGGGTTATGGTCCCGCAGTCTTGGGATCAGGGAGCCTTGCATCAGGCTCCCTGCTCAGCTGGAAACCTGCTTCTCCCACTCCCCCTGCTTGTGTTCCCTCTTTCACTGTGTCTCTGTCTCTCTCAAATAAATAAAATCTTAAAAAAAAATAAATTGAGGCATAAGTTATACACTGTATATTAGAAATCATAGGATTACATACAACTTTTCTCAGTGTATAAAGTTGTGTAATTGCCTCCCAGATTAAGATATAAAACATTTTCAGCATCCCAGGAAGCTCCCTTGTGCTGTCCTCCTAGCCTGTACACTGGTCTCCTCAAAGGTCAATTTGGTGGTCTCATTGTCTCTCAGAGCTCTCTCATTTGTTTTTAATTTCACCTAATTAGAGGTATGTGTGCTCTTTTATATCTGACTTTTACTTATCATTTCTGTGAGGTATACCCGTGTTGCTGGTGTGTAGCAGTTGTTGATTATCCATTTTGGGGGTAGTATTTCATTCTAGGAATAAAACACAATGTATTTTTCCATGCTGCGGTTTATAGATGCATGGGTTCTTTCCAGTTTGAATCAGTGGTACTGTTGCGAACATTATCATACATATTTTTTGAGGGTCATATGCATTTATTTTCCTGTGACATGGATAACATGAGATACACACGCACACACACACACAGACACACACACTTAGCTTTTGTAGATACTGCTAAACATGTTTTCCAAATTATTAAACCAATTAACACTACCACCATTCACAATTTCACTTGCTCTGTATTCTATCAACATATTTGTAGTCTTTTTCTACTTAAAAATTTAAACCAATAGGAAAGTTTCAAAGATTTTTTTTTTAATTCAGGTATAAATAGCATGTTGTAAAATGCAGAGGTCTTAGGTGTTCATTTTGAGTTTTGAAATTGTATAAGCCTGCTCTCAAAAAGATAGAGCCCATTCCTCTAAGAACTTCCTTCATGGTCCTTTCCAGTCATGGTCAATCCCCTGCCAAATGCTCTGCTGCATCCCAAACCACTTTTCTGATTATATAAGCATAGATTAATTTTGTCTATTTATTTATACACATTTGTGTAAGTGGGATTTTTCTGTGTCCTGGCTCTTCCATTCATAGTTTTTGAAATTCATTCATGTTGCAGGATCTGGATGCTGGGTATGCTGGTGTTTGCTACTAGAGTGTCGTTGCTTCTAGAATGTTCAATAGATAAAACTAGGAAAATATATGTTAAAAGAAAATATAGCTATCACCAATTCAAACCCCTTATCATAGGCTTCTTCCTTATTTCCTTTATTCTGTATTTCATACTCTGTTTTTTCAGAGAGTATCCTGATTCCCATCAAAAAAGTTTGTTTTTAAATAATTTTTAATAATTTGAAGTACTGTCCAGTTTTGAAAATATAACTTTAAAAAGTGAGTATTATACTAAGGGCATATAAATGTAAAAGTAACACATATGATATGTTCTGCTAAAAGATAGTGAGTTTTAACTTTTATAAAATAACAAGTATATATGTTCAGTTTTTATATTATATTTGTATTTTTCCTGATTTTATTTCTAAAAGGTAAGTACCCTTGAATTTCAGATAAAATTCAGTTCACTAAGTCTTTTATTTTGAGGAATTTTTGTTCTAGTTTTATTTTATCATTGAATTGCATGTTATTTCTGCAAAGCTCTATAGCCTAGTGACTAAGATTCAGTGGTGGATAGCTAATAAATTATTTGATCCTAGTAGTGCCTCATACTAAGTCTATGATCTTTATCAAGTTATTTCTTTGAGCTTCAGTTTCCTCACCTGTGTACATTACAGGGTATTGTGAGGTATGTGTATGTGTGTTTCTTACCATTTATAATGATGGTAGTTAATAAAATAGTGCTTAAGTTTTATTTAGTGGTTTATTATTAAGATAAGATAAAAGGAAATATGAGAGAAAAAACCTGAAAATAAAATTTAATTATGGTAAAAGTAGTTTGATTATAGTTGATGTAATAATCCTTAAATGCTAATTCTGTTGTGAAAACCAAATTATCTGCTGCATGTTATGTAGGATATCTATTACCTATCACAGGGGCAAATTATTTAAAAATTTGTTTTAAGTAGTTAATTCATTGATATTTTTAGAAATGTTTACTGTAATAATGTCTGCTGATTTTAGATTTAAAAAAATTTTTAGGTTATTTGAAGTATAGGATGTACAATTACAGTTTTTTGAATGAAAGTTCTTTAATAGCTTAAAATACCTATTTATAGGCACTGAAAGATAGCACAGAAGTGGAAATTGTGGATGAGAAAATGAGAAAAAAGATAGAACCGGAAAAATGGCCGATTCCGGGCCCTCCTCCACGAAGTGTGCCACAGACAGACTTCTCTCAACTGATTGATTGCCCAGAGTTTGTACCAGGCCAAGCCTTTTGTTCGCATACAGGTAACAGCTTTTCTTCTAGAGCAAGCAGTGTAACGGTGGGCTATCTGGTCCCATTTACCTATCCTTTAAAAAAAGTTTTAGATTGTTTAGGAAAATTAAAGAAAACTGAATGACTTTGATGCTCTAAATTCTATTCATTTTGTGCCCCCCACCCAGCCATAAATTAAAAATGGATTTAAGAATTATGGGTAAACCTCTGCTCCATTCTTAAATTGTGTACTTTGTCATGTATGGAATTTCTACCTATCTTCTTAATTTTACTAAATGATTATAGATAAGTTGTGCTAGTTTCCTCTTATAAGATTGGAGTAGTCTAGTAGGATGAAGTAGTTTAAAAGTCTTATACTAAAGAGTGGGGCTGACTTTAGTTTTGTTACTAGTGTGCTTCAGTTCCATCTTGTAAAGATGGGATGGCCTATATGCAAAAGCAGCATTGGGGTACTGTTATGAAATTATTATGATTATAGATTAAAGAATTGATGGTAATTAGAATTTCCAAAAACTGCTTTAATATTAAGAATTTTTTCCTGGATCATTTTTAAGACATTCCCTCTTGGGAAAAAATGTGTGTGCTTAAACTTTTTTCAGTCAGGGTGATGATCTACTGATGCTTGGATGTCATTTGATCGAACATGCAGAGGAATAGGTGATTCACTGAAATATTATAAACATTGGATCAAATCGTGCTGCAGAAATGAAAGCGACCAGACTTCTATGCAAGAATGTCTACTCCTGACTCCTTGTGGAGGAGGTTGGGCCACCACTGCAATGGAGATAAACACCTTTGTGATGATAATGAGAGAGAGACCAGAGGACTGCTGTTGTTTTTATAGGAGCCACCCGTTTGTGTGTAATTAGCCTGAGCTGCATGTGCTACTTTTATTTACGGTGGGAAAGTTAATTATTCTGGAAATATTGCAAAATTCTGTCTTTTTTCCCAGACTTATGTACTGTGTCCACATCAATAAAACAAAAATAGAGAGGCTTGAGTGCATTTCCCAGATTGTTAGGTGCTTTGCTATTTGATTTGCCCTTCAGTACAGTGTACAGTGTACAACTCACATATCACCATAGTATTTCACATGGACTATGAGATGTGTTAATGTGGACATGGGGGGAAAAGAAATATGAGAAATGAACAAGAATATTTTTTTCTAAACTCTTCAAAATATATTTTTTATACACCAGTATGTGAGACCTGCCATCAATAAAGTACCGATGAACAGTCTCACAGATATTTTTATTTAGTGTTTCTTTGATTGTCAGCCCTCTGTGCCTCTAACCCTAGCAAGCAACTTGGGCAGATGTTTTAAAAGTTGAAGAAAAGTGATATTTTTTAGGTTTTCTTAAAAAAAGACTTAATGTCTGATTGTATAAATTAGATTATTTGTGTAAACTTTGGGTCCAAGATGACATTTTTAACCTGCTTATGAACAGGCATTAGGTGAGTTAGATAAAAATAGAAAATACGTTTACCTCAAGGTAGCTAATAAGATAGGTCAGTCAAGTTGGTGATGCCTGTTCATTTAACCATTTATGCATTATTAATAAAATTACAAGAATAAAATCACAATGTCTTGTACATTTTTGTGTTTTTTAAATATACACTCATTTACATCTCATACATATTGCCAAAACATATCACTCTATATTTAAATGTCCAAAATTTTAGGTTCTTTAAATTACACATCTGTAACCACATGGATAATGAAGGCATATAGAATGTTCTTAGAGTTATGCAGATTTACATTACATCATAGGAATAGGTACATAAATTCAGCCTTTTTCATGAATCCCCATATTTCTGACCTTAATAATTATCCTCTGATGAGAAAGGCTTAGGTCGTAAATTCAAGAGAGAGTAGTATGTCACCAAAAATGTGAAATGGATATAGGAATAGGAAAAGTAGATTGTGTTTATCTATACCTATAGGTGAAGAAACTTTTATCTATATCCTTTTTATCTCTAAAAAGAAGACTTTAAATTTCAAAAACATAACCATTGATGTATACTTCCTGAGGGATTTTTATTGTAAAATATTTAAACATTTTTTTTTCATCAAAGAAATTAAAATGTCTATTTTTCCCTCTATGGAGGTTGAATTGTGTAACATGAGTTCGCCTTTGCACTGAACAGAGGACCTCAATGCACCAGAAAATGTTGATTATGGGAATGGTAAGATGTTAATTTTAAAATTTAGGTTTTGCAGTTCAATGGATATAGTATTGCACTATCAACTCTTAAGTAAAAGATTTCATTCTCAAATTTGAGAGGGTTGGGTACCTGACCATCTTGGGGGTTTTTGTTGTTGTTTTGGCTTTTTGAAAAATGTGTAGGAGGATCTCTAATGATTTTTGAATAAGCTGTGGGATTTCCTTTGGAAAGTTGCAGAAGTATTCCTGAATGAGCTACATAAAGCATATAACCCTTTTGAAAGTATATAACCCTTTTAAAGCAATCTATGTAACAACCCAGATTCAGGGTGGATAAAGAAGTCAAACTAGATAATCATGGAATATATAGGGTGATTTACGTCTGGAGAGTGATGTTGATAATTTTTCAATTAAAACAGCAAAGATAAATTTTTTTCTCTGTTCTTACAAATTAGAACCTATAAAGTGTCAAAGTATGTGTCTGATTTTTTATCTCTATAAGTTTAATGTCAAGTCATCCAAGTAATATTCAGACTTACTGGTTCTTGGAAGATGAGGGATTTACTGTTACCTTTAAAATTTACCTACATAATGTTTGAAATCTTTTCATTGTAAAAGAAAACAAATCACATAAAGCATATGTGTAGGTAATTATAAGGTGAACATTTCCCTTTAAAAACTCAGACTATTCTAAATTTTCTTGTCTTACCCAAATTCTTTGGTATTTTGATATTTAATTTGTAAGTACGTGTTGTGGGTATAATGAAACACTTGACTTCATGATAGAAACATTCAAGCTTAGCGAGCATTTAGAGATGATTATATAATAAACTTAAGTAGGTGTTTAAATATATTTCTGTGTTAAAAATAGTAGTTAACTGATTTCCCTACCATGTGCTAGGTGCTATTCTAATCATTTATACATGATAGTAATTTAGTTAATTCTCACAGTTGCTAGGGTGGTGGTTCTTAGTCTGTTTTTAAAGCTTTATTCACTGCATGAGCATAAGTGATTTATAGTATTAGAAATAAGATTCTCTGCTATAAAATGTGTTCCCATTCCTATAACTTTAATATCAATACTTGCAGTCCAAATGTAGCATTTCATCTATATTACCTCTATGGATCAATTGATGATATATGTACCATTAATTAAAGTTGTAAGCATCAATGTCAAATAGAAATATAATGTTTGCTATACATGTAATCCTAACAATTTTAATAGCCTAAAAAATGAAATTAATTTTAATAACATTTAAAATATTTTAATATGCCTAAATATTATAACATTAATATAAAAACTACAGATCCATTTTACCTTTTTGGATATTTTGTACCAAGACTTTGAAATCTGGTATGGGCCTTACACTTATTAGCACATTCTAGGACTACCCATGTTTTAAGTGCTCAGTAGCTCCATATGATTAGGGGCTATATACTCAACAATGCAGTTTTAGAGCCTTTTCCATTATGAAGGAATTTACTTCTAAAAAAAAAGTAATATAATTTGATATTTGAATCCTGGATCTAATATGTGTTCATGGAAAGGATAATAACTCTTATTTGAGTCTAGCACGTAGTAGATGAAAGTAAAATCTTGGAATATTCTTCTCAAACCCAAAGTCCTGGAATGTGCCTTTGCATTTTCGTTTAGTAAATAAAAGAATTGTTGCTGTTCATTTATTTCAGCTTTCTCCATGTAATATTCAACTTTGCAATATTTTCAAGTAATTGGCTTTTGGGGACTAAATTAAATGATATTTAGAATTTTAGGGTATAAATTTATATGTAAAACTCTTTGTCCAAAGGAAATACATATTGCATTATAACTTAAAATAAGCATTCTTTTGAATTTTTAGAAAAAGATTTGTAAAGGTATCAATTAGGATTTTATTTATAAAGCACGTGATTATTTTGATTAAGGGATAGTGTGGAAGAAAGCATTTTTAATTACAACAGAGTTTTAAAATGTATTAAATTTTATTACCAGTTTTAAAATGTTTTAAATTTGCACTTTAATGATGTGACATTCTACTCCTTACAGTAACTTATATGAGCTAAGTGGGCACACTGCATTTAGGTAAAATTCATTAAGCAAAGGAAATGTGAAGTGTGAATAATGACTCCCTTGCTATAGATTATAGCAGAATAGTGAAGGACTGATACTGCCTTGAATAAAATATGCATTTACTCCAGCTTAATAGCATTTGAGATTCCATAATTTCATTTCATAATTGATAGATTTTAAGATTGCACTGGGAATTGATCCCTAAATTAAATGAATTATCACAATTAGTAACTCAATTGATATGCTTGAGATGTTTGAGTGAATGTGATCTGTGTAAGGGTTGGTGACATTTCTTTTATCTATTATTCATTGGCTTCACTCAAATACATTTTACATCTTTTCAGGTTTGAAAATCAGTCATTGGAAAAATTGTAATTGAGATTTGATTTATCATGTTTTTGTGGAAAAAAAAATCCAGCCCAAGTAAAGAAAAAGAAGTGTTTTATAATTAAGAAAACCATTATTTTAATTAAGTACTAACTTAAAATTTTAGAGTCTGCCCCAAATTCTCCAAGAATTGGAAATCCACTGAACCCAAAGAAAAATACTGAAACAAATAATCTTCAAGCAATGTCTAGAGGTTTGTCTACCAGTTTGCCTGACTTGGATTCAGAACCTTGGATAGAAGTTAAAAAGAGACATCGTCCATCTCCAGTGAAATTGAAGGTAAATTGTTATGAACCCAAGTGAAGTGTAGTACATTCCTGGGTTGATTGTAAGGCCAGTATATTTTGTCAAGTAAATATGTAAAATTTGGAAAAGTTTAAAAAATTGTAAAATTTGGCTATAAGTAAAAACTTAAGGCTTACTCAGTAGTTGAAAATAAGTTATTGTGTCCATTTTAAAAACTTGGCTTCTCTTTCTAAATACGATTAAGAATATTTTGATGTGGTCTTTTAACTTGTGACTGAATTTGAATAATTTTTTTAAAGCTGACAGAATTTTTCCAAACTGTGAATTTATATTTTAACCTTATTATTTATGACCTGTAATTATTTATAAAGGGTACAGATTAGGTATATATATGTTGTTGGTGATTTTGTGTACAGTAAGAAAGGAAAAGAGAATTGATTTCTTCGGGCACATGAGGGAGTGGAATGTGTGGTTATGAAACAGCAGAAGAGATCCTTGATGTTAGAAGTGCTACTATAGTTTTGACTCATGGTTGGATACAAAAAATTTCAACTGTGATAAAAATTGCTCTAATCTAAGCCATAAATAAAATGAGTACAAATAAAGCTGGAGAAATCTGAGTAAGATTAATAGGTTATTTCAGTGTGTATCTTGTTTGTGATATTTTGCTATACTTTTCGCAAGATGTTACTATTGGGAGAAACTAAGTAAAAAAAAAATACATAAGATTTCTTGTAACTGTATGTGAATGTATAATTATCTCAAATGTTACTCAAATGATTCAAATATTGAAGGTAAGTTCTGTAAGGAGAGGGTCATTAAAAATAATAGGACCTAGAATGGGGAAGGATAAAGAAGGCTGTCGTATTGAAGATTATTATGAACAAGGCTCTTTATCCTTACCATCAAGGTATGAAGAAGCATGAAGGGATTAAAGAGTGGTTCTCCACTGGGGGAATGAGGGAGTGATAAAATTTTGTTTCATCGGGATATTTGGCAATGTCTGGAGACATTTTTGGTTAAAATTGGGAGACTGCTGTTACACTATTACATCTTGTGAGTGGAAGCTAAAGATGCTGCTAAACATCCTACAGTGCAAACCCCCCCCCCCCCAAAAAAAACCCAAAGAATTCTCTAGCCTAACATGTCAATAGTCTTGAGTTTGAAAAACCCTCATCAAGAGTTAACTTTTTAATTAGCTGTGGGGGTTAAACATAGCATATTTAAATGTTGAAAGAGGTGGTTCTGCCCCCACCCACCTCAGGGGACATCTTAAAAACCTAAAGCAGTGCTCGCTTCAGCAGCACATATATTAAAAACCTAAAGTGGCTTTCTAGGGGTGCCTGGGTGGCTCAGTTGGTTTAGCATCCAACTCTTGGTTTTGACTCAGGGTGGCAAGACCCAGCCCCATATGGGGATCTGTGTTCAGCACAGAGTCTGCTTGAGATTGTCTCTGCTTCCCTCTCACTCGCTCTCTGCTTCTCCCCCAGATTGTGTGCTTGCACATGCTCGCTCACTCTCTAAAAAATAAATATCTTTAAAAAAAATTTCTAAACCTGCCTTCTCAAGACAAGATTTTCTAAAGTTCCTGATTAATTTCTATATTTATCATGGCAGATAACATCCCTGTACAGGTAGGGTGGATAAGGATAGTCTCTTGAAAACACACAGACAGACACACACACAGACACACACACAAAACAAAACCACACAAAAGGATAGTGTCCTGGATCATTGACAAAGATTTGTGTAGTATTTTATTTATTCTAAGGTCTAAATTTTTTCTTGCACTTTAAAATATCTCCACATTTTAATATTTCTTTTAAAATAATGGTTCTTCCCTTGTATGCTGTTGGTGGGGAAGTAAACTGATAACAGCCACTGTGGGAGATAGTACAGAGTTTCCTTGAAAATTTAAAAATAGAAATGATCATATGATCTGATAATTCCACTAGTGAATATTTATCCAAAGAAAATGAAAATACTAATTCAAAAAGATATGCACTTCTATGTCTGTTGAAGTATTATTTACAATAGCCAAGATGTGGGAGCAACCAAGATGTTGTATACATATACAGTGGAATATTGCCCATAAAACAGGATGAGATTGTGCCACTTGTGACAACTGGGTCGGACTAGAGGTTATTATGCTAAGTGAAATAAGTCAGAATTAAAAAGGCAAGTACTATAGGATTTCACTGATATGGAATCTAAAAAAGCAAATGAGTAAACAACAACAACAAAAGGCCTGTAAATACAGAGAAAAAAACTAGTGGTTGCCAGAAGGAAGGGGGGTCGGGAGTAAGACAAAAGTGGGTGAAGGGGGAGGGAGATACAGGCTTCCAGTTATGCTATGAATAAATCACAGTAATAAAAAGCACAGCATGGAGAATATAGCCAGTGATATTGTAATAGCATTGTATGGTGACAGATGGTTGCTACACCTGGGAGCATAGCATAACATAAAACTTTAATGGATATGTTGTACACCTGAAACTAATGCAACGTTGTGTGTCAACTATACCCAAATAAAAAAAAATTTTTTTTGCCTTATAGGAACTGGCACGTTTCTTATACGTGCCAGAAACTACTGCAAAGACTAGTTAGAGAGGTGCCAAGCAACTTAAAACTTTCTAAAATGGATTTATTTTTCTTAAAGGGGCTTAAATTCAGAAAATATGCTAATGAATAAAGCAAAATTTTGCTAATTTTAAAAAATAAAATAAAAATAATGGTTCCTGTTAAAATCGATGGCATCTTTATGAGTTGGTTTAAAAAAAGAAATTTTTGGAAGGGTAAGTACTAGATTCTGATGTACAGGGCCAGCAAGTTGGTAATGGAATCTGGTTTTAATAGTGGAAAAAGAATGGTGTAAAATCTAGGGCCTTCAGTTTTATGGCCAAAGAATCTTGGTGCCATTAGTAAGATCTGAAATGTATTCTGATATTACAGAGTGAGGATCTGGCTTGGAGGAAAGCTGACTGTAGGTTCTGGGGGCCTAGATATTTCAGTGATACCTCCTGAGGTAGGTTACTTAATGACAACATTACCAACATACTTTTTAAAAAAATGATCTTTTAAAAATATGCATTCTAGAGTGGGTATGGCTTGTTCAGAGATAAATTTCTTTAGAAATCTAAAAGCATTTTTTCCACTGTCATTTTGGTCAGTTTTTTTCCTTACGAAATTTAGTACCTTTAGATATTTTTTATCAAGTGATTTTGTTTTTATTGAGGTTTTAAGATTATTTCTTAATCCCCACCATTAAAATTTCAGATGATATACTCTGGAGTTGGTCTGCTTTTATTTACTGTGCTGTGTATTCATGTCCATTATTTTGGGAAAATTATGTTTCTCTTTTTTTTCAACTTCTGGTATTCCTTTTTATCAAATGTTGGGCCCCCTGGGGCTCTCTGAACTGATCATCTAGCTACTGTTTTTTCTGGAATTGGGGATTTAAAGAAGATTATGTTTCTGTTATTTCCATCAGTTTGTTTTTTTTTTTAAGTCCTCCTCTTTTAGAATGATGATTATTTCTTAAATGTGATCTTTAGTTGATGGTTTATATTAGTTATTGATAAGTTGGTAGAGACTTCTTTTGTGGCCTTGTAGATCTGCTCATCCAGAAGGACTTTCTTCTGAACGTGAGGTATGATTGTGCACACTCTTGGTTAAGTGTAAGGGTCCTACTAGACTTTTACACCTTGACAGAGGATAAGTTGTGCTAGTTCTGGGTCTTCAGAGTTGATAAAATCAGTACTTTTCTCTGGGAAGTAGAGTTTCTTAGTATACTTTATTCATTGGCAAAATTACCTTCTCTTTCTTCCCCCAGCTTTTTTTTTTTTTTTATTGTTATAAGTTTAGAATAATAATACTGGGATATGTTCATCCTCTGTCCAGCTCCATGGACATGGGCCCTCTCTTGGCAAGTCTTTCATTTTGTTTAGAAAGCAATTCTTGGGCTTTAAGTTGGGAACAGATATTATAACTTCATATTCTCAGGTAAGAGTATGGGACTGACTGTTCTATCTGTATCCTGTAGTTTGTTTCCCAAATACCCCTTTTGATGGCTGTCACATAGTCCATTCCTGCTCATCGTGCTTACCGTCTCAAAACTTTTTAGGATGCCAGTGGAACCAGTGGTTAGTCTTTATATAGGTTCTAGGTTGCTGTTTCCTCTAGTCTTGTTTATTATCGATACAATCTCATTTGCTTTCTGCTTTCCAGAAAGTCAGAACAATTTCCGATTCTCTGGTAGTATAATACTTGTTTTCATATTGACATGAATTAATTTTTTTCATTACTGCAAATCATTACTACAAGTAAGTATGCTCAGTCAAGTCCTCTTCAACCCCAAATCTCTTCTCTCTTCCTTACAAATTAAAAAATTTTATGTTTAAAACAAATTTAAATATAACTGACATAAAGTAAAAAGTAAGAGAATCTCTCCTGGTTTTACCATTATTAACAGTTTGGTGTTTATTCTCAGACTTTTTTCATGTACTTGCAGATGTGAATAATAAGGTATATAGTTTTCATTTTTAAATATATTCACAGTGTGTTAAAACTTATTTTTATTTACATTTTTAGTAAAAACATCATGGAATGCCTTCTATTTAGTAGAATTTTAGCAGTGTCCGGACAGAGTTATTATTATTGTATATCCTTTCCTTGAACAGTGCCTGGCTCACAGTGAGGACCCAGATTAATTATTGATTGAATAAATATGTACTACATTAATAGGAATTCTGAGAGAGAGGGATTTTTTTATTCTAGGCAGAGGAGAGTTAGCATTTACCGAATGATAAGGATTGGTCAAAGGGTGACATTGGAAAATGACATTGACACAGTCTATTGTGTTGAGAGTTTTGGAAATCTAGACTAAGTTAGATTTTAGAAGATCTAGGATCTAAAGTTTTGTACTTGTTATGTCACCCAATAGGAAGCACTCTTAATTTTTTTTTTCAGGGAGGGCAAAGTTCAATAGTTTAGTGCATGTTAGGGTAAATTTAATAAGAAAACCTGGCCATAGTGAGTGAGGGGAAGAATGAACAGAGGGATTAGCTAGGAAAGCTAGCTAATGGCATTAATATTGCAAGGATTCAGACTAGGAAGATCACGGATTTTGGAAGTCAGAAAACCTTGATTGTTCTAGTCTTGACGAATTCTGAAATTCTGGACAAATTAACTTCATATCTCTAAGCCTTTTTTCCCCCTCATCTGTAAATTGAGTTGGTATTCTATAATGGATGAGCTGGGCACCATTCTTACTCTAAAGAAGTCTTTAACCCTCCTTTTACTCAATTTTGTGTTTTTGTTTAGCATTAAACTTAGTGTTTAGCAAATTCATCTATTTATTGGGCCAGAATAATACTAGCTTGATTTTCTTTTATAATTTGCTTGCTAACTAGTTGCTGAGCATACAGGCTTCATATTACTAACTTGTAACATTATTATGTGATTTTTATTTTTTAAATGATACTAAAGTTTGTATATGAAATACCATTTTCTTCCTTCAGGAATCATCATCTCTACCTGGAGAGGCATCAAATCAGCTATATCCTTCAGATGAACAAGAGCAAGAAGAACTTGATTTTTTATTTGATGAAGAGATAGAACAAATAGAAGGGCGAAAAAACACATTTACTGATTGGTCTGATAATGATTCAGATTATGAAATTGATGACCAGGATTTAAACAAGATTTTGATTGTAACTCAGACACCACCTTACATGAGAAAACATCCTGGAGGAGATCGAACTGGCAACCACATGTCGCGGGCAAAAATTACATCTGAACTTGCTAAAGTAATTAATGATGGCTTATATTACTATGAACAGGATCTATGGATAGAGGAAGATGAAAACAAACACACAGCCATAAAGGTAATATTTTCTGGCTCACATTTCTGCTGATACTATTTTTTTAGTATGTGTTGCTCCTTGTATTTTCTTAAACTTGAGGCTTTATTTTATTAAATTTGGTATAAATAAATTTAATTTTGAAAAATTCCCAGAAAATGTCTGATATTAACAACCTGAGAAATAATTTTATTAAAATGACAATGCAATGAATAATTACAAAAAATTAGCACTCATTTACTAAAACCCTTTTTTCGGTGAAAATAATAAGGAGGCTCTTTCTAAGAAGAAGAAAAAAACCTGACGGTACGGACAAGCTTAGTTTATATGCTCATTCCTTACCCTGGCCTATAATCACCCCAGCTAAATGAGTAGGGCTTTGGAGAAGGGTGGATTTTGTTGCTCCATTCCATTGTTCTCTCAGTCTGTGGTGCATGCTTTATGGTAGTAGTACTGGTTGTGGACAAGGATAGAAGATTAAAATGGCTGATTGTCTTTCGTTATATAATCATTGTTGTGGTACTAGGGGTGCTCTTTGAAACCTTGATCCAATTTTTTATCTTCTTGAATTTCACCCCACATCTGATACCTATCCTAGTTATTAAGGTAAAATATGAGAGAACCAGAGTGATCTACTGGCTATCTGCATTCCTTTGATAGAAATTTTAATGGTAAAGATAGGGATTAAAGGGATCTTTTTCTGCCATAAAAAGTTACATGTTGTTTTTGAATAGAATAATGAGGGAAAAGTTGCATAACTATACTATGCCAAATAGGAGAATGATCTTGGTCAGAAATATTTATAGTTGTAGGAAGAAAAGTCTGCCAGCTAGTGACTGAATAGACGGACTAGCTGTCCATGGAGGTTCGTATCATTAACAAGAAGTGTACTTTCCTTCTTGGCTCTTCATTTCTTTTTCTTTCTGGTATTTCCATCAGTGTATTCAACCCCTTACCTTCTCTAGCCATTGCCTTTTTGGAGATCATGCATCAGGTTATTGTAGCTTATCTGTGACTTAAGAGCCTCTCTGTCCTACTGTGAAAAGGAAGTGTGTTTTTATAGTTTCAAGGTTTAAAATCTTTCCTTGTCTAAGCTTTGTTACTTTGTTTGGGATACTTAGGTTCTATAAGTAATCTCTACCTTAAATCCTTTTGAAACAGAAAGAGCTAGAAATAAATTTAATTAATAATAGGTTAAAATTACATTCCTTCCATTTCATGTCTCTTTACCCTGCTTTGTTCTTCACCATCTACCATTCTGTATATTGCACTTCTTTTCTGTTTTGATCACATGGATATAATATCTATGAAGATAGTAATTTTTGCCTAATTTTGTACACTACTGTATCTCCACTGCTATAACAGTTCCTGGCACATAGTAGTGTTCAATTCATATTTGTTAAATGGATAAATGAATTATGGATTAAACATTATGAACTAACCAAAGAAAAGTTAACCACTTTATATAATATTGCTTCTATGGGGAAATTTTTTGAGTTCCAAATAATGAACTTTCAGGTCATCTTGAGAAATGTATTTGTAGGTGATTATTTGCTTTAATTAAAATGTAGACAACAATAAGGAAAGCCATGTATTGAGTTAATTAAAAACCAGCATCTGGGGGCACCTGGGTGGCTCATTGGTTTAAAGCCTCTGCCTTCGGCTCAGGGCATGATCCCAGGGTCCTGGGATTGAGCCCTGCATCAGGCTCTCTGCTCAGCAGGGAGCCTGCTTCCTCCTCTCTCTCTGCCTGCCTCTCTGCCTACTTGTGATCTCTGTCTGTCAAATAAATAAATAAAATCTTAAAAAAAACAAAACAAAACACAAAAAAACAACATCTGCCCACTTAACCATGAAGTATTAGGGTAAAGTAATCTTTGCTATATGACTCTTAACCATATGGTCTGTTCATAAGTTGTTGTATTTTAACCTGATCCATATGTACATTCTTATCACCTGACTTATTTCCCTTGTTTCTAATTCTGTGCTCAACATGTAATTTCTGATTAGAATTGTACTTTTCCTGTGGGTCTGCTTAAAGGGAAAGGAGACAATGATTTAATGTATATTTGTTAAACTCCCACTGTGAGCCAGACACTGTGCTAGGTCCTGGACATGGAATGGGAAGATGACAGTAGGGTCTCTGCCTGCCTGGTTCTTACAAATAATTGGGAGGACAGACATTAAAATAAACCCATAATAAATGCTTAATCACAAATCACAAATTATAATGTGCTAAAGGAAAGGAACAGGACGCTACTGGGTTGGGTTGTCAGGGAATGAATGCCTGTGAGGAAAGTCACAGTTATAGTGTGATCTGAAATATGAGGAAAATTAAACCCTGCAAAGACCAGGTAAACCATATTCTAGGAAGAAGAAACAACAAGTGGCAAGGATCTGAGGAAGAAAGAATTTGGTGTATTTTAAGAACTGAAAAACAAGTCCATTTGTTTATAGTATTATATAAGAGGACAGTTATGGCAATATATAGGCTGAAGTCTAATCATACATTGTTTTGTGGGCTATGTTAAATAGTCTGGAATTTATCTAAAGTTCAGATAAAGTACCTTGGAGGTTTTACACAAGCAAAAGGGCTAAATCTAATTTTTATTTTTATTTTTATTTATTTATTTATTTTTTAAGATGTTATTTTGAAGAGTGAGCAGGGTGAGGAGCAGAGGGAGGGAGGGAAAGAGAATCTCCAGCAGACTCCGTGCTGAGTGTAGAGCCAGACATGGGGCTCGATCTCATGACCCTGAAATCATGACTTGAGCCAAAACCAAGAGTCAGATGCTTAACCAACTGAGCCACCCTAATTTTTGCTTTTAAAATATAACTCTGGTTATTATGGTGGAGAATGGATTAGATAGGTACAAGAGTGGCAGAAGAAATCCACTTGGAAAGCTATTAAAGTAGTCTAGGAGATGGGTATTGATAATTAGGTAACTTGGTAGCAGAGGAAATGTTGAAATAAGAAAACCCAGATCTGAGCCCTGAGGAATCATCATTTAGGAGTTATAATAAGAAGTGGTGCTGTAGAAGCCCAAAACCAACTTCAGGAGGAACTGGACAGATTGAGTTAGGTATAAATGAAAAGAATGCCAAATTGATAGGGTAGTTTAATTATCTTTTGTGACTTTGCAAAAAAGGATTTTTTGCTGGATCCAGAAGTTATATTGAACTGCACTAGACTGAGTATATAGGCTTTCTGTTTCTCCCATGGTCTTAATGTTGAAAACAACTCAAATGGCCTTTTAGTAGATGAGAAAACATCTTAAAATCCTGAAGATTGGCAAAGTAAGTTATTACCAGAATAAAACCAAAAGAAGTGTGGAGTATTGAACCCAATGTTGCCCCTGGAGACCATTGGAATTTGAGGAATACAGTGTTCCAAAAGCCCCCTAAAATAAAGGGGAAGAAGACAAAACTAGAGCTCAGCAAAGTTGGGGATTCTAGGAAGTTGCCTATTAAATTGGCACCTAAAAGAAATACAGTGAAAGAGAACTTGCTTTCTTACCTACTGCTCTAGAGGACTACAAAGAAATTTCCCTAGTTGTGCTGAATAGACTAAGAAGAAAAAAAAATGGCTTAGAATTTATAATCATGCAACTTTAAATTGCTAGCATCTAGATACGTAACCACTAGTCATGAATTTAAAGTGGTCATGACCTGTTAACTTCTCAGAAACCTAGCAGAAGCCAACATAGCTCCTTTTTGAGGACATTCATTTTTAATCTAGACCTTGAATAATTTACTCAAATTTTCTTAAAAGGAATGTGAGTAACTCACAGAATTAATAATCAAACAAGGAAATGTGCTCTACCACATGTGAGAATGAGCAAGACCATACCCTAAAATAGTTTAGATAACGGAATTACTAAACAGAATGTGGAGTAACTGTTAACTGTGTTTAAAGAAATAATTTGTGCAGGGAAGAAGACTAAACAGCAACAGTCCTCTAATTTTTGCAAGTAAAAATAGTTATGGTTAAAATTAACACAATTAAGGGGATTAACAGCAGATTAGATAAAATTAGAGAATCAGTAAATTGGAAGAGTTTACAAGAAACTACTCAGAAATCAGCACAGAGAGGCAAAGAGAATATTTTATGAAAGTATATGTAACGATGTTCTGAAGAGTCTTTGCTATTATTTACTACATTTCAAATCAAGTTGTAGAATTAACATCTGGATTTTATTTTATAGCTTTTCATTTCTGAAAAGTTTAAAAAAGCAGGAAATGTGGAATACTGAGTGATAAAAATGGCCTAAAGTAGACATTTAATAAGAATTTCAGAAGGAAAGGTTAGGAAAAATGGGGCAAAATCATTATTTTAAGAGGTAATAGCTGGGACTTTTTCTGAATTGAGGAGAGAGATCAGAGTAGAGCAGCCAGGGGAAAAAAGGCAGATTACATTTAAAGGTAGGTGAGTGAACAGCTGACTTTCCAACAGTAAACAGTTGACTGCAATAGACACTGGAGTGGTAGTATTACTATACCAAGGGAAATAACTGTCAATCTATAATTGTATGCCTTGCAAAAGTGTAAAAGGGTGAAATATAATGAGAGAAATTGTAACTTAGGAAAGCCTCATTAAAGGAAATTGCAGAGGTGAAATAAATGATTTCTGATGCCAAGTATATAGAAAGGACTGCAGAGCAAAGTGAGAGGTGTGAATAAATCTAAATATTAACTGTATAAAATAGTGTCTTACGGATTAAACATAACAACACAAACTTAGAGAGAGCAATTAAATTAATATTTAAGGGTACTTTTGTATCTAGAGAAAAGATACTGATTAGTTTTTAAAGTTTTTATGTTGCAGTGTGAAGGATACCCATTCAGAAATAAAATTAGAGTAAATAACTGTGAAACTGGAAGAAAGGAAAATGTAGAATAAGAAAGGGGCTCCCAGCACAAAGATAAAGTGGTAGGTTTGTTTGTTTGTTTATTTATTTATCCATCTATCTATCTACCTATCTGAGAGAGAGTGTGGGAGCAGCAAGCTGGGGGAAGGGCCAGAA